TCAAGAGTCTAAAGCTTAACCGACTATGCCATCCAGGTGCTCCTATCTGTACCTTTTTAAAAAAGATACACTTGAGTGTGTTGTCATGTATGTGGAACTAAAGTAGAAGTATCCTTATTCTAAGCGGAGGGTGTGTCATTTTAGTTATTTATTTGTGGGCTTAAGGAGTGATAACTTTGTTTCCAGCTGGAAACCTCTAATTGTCCAAGTGATCAATAATAACCTCATTTGTTGGACAGTGGCACCTATTGGTAGTTTAATATTTTCATAACCCAGCTTGAAAGGCATTGTAAATACATACATAGTAAAGTGAGTAGGAGAACAAAATTTCCAGAACTTTATAAATAAAGTGACAGAATGTTATGGAAGAGAGTCCTATCGGGCCAAGGAGAGAGCACAAACTGGAGAGCAGTACAAGCACAAAAATGAGTATGTGAAATGTTTAAGGACTGCTGATATCTCTGCTGAGGTCCTATGATATATGATAGAGATGCCAATAGGCTGTTTATATGCAGTGACCTGAGTTGTCAATATATTTATAAGTGAGGATCACATGGTTTATGAGCTATAGCATAAAATGACATTGAAATTTGGTTGAGCCTGGAGTCATTTGAAATTAGCTTCACATTTTTTTTATCTGATTTCTAATAAGTTTGGTAAAGATTTACATTTTTTTTGAAAGCTGCAGATTTTTAGGGCAGTAAATTTATTCTGTGTAATACTGTAATGGTAGATATGTTACGTTACATGTTTGTAAAAACATAGAACTATATGCCATCCAAAGGGTGAATGCTAATATAAAGTATGGACTTTACTTAATAATGTATAAATATTGGACCATCAAATGTACCACCCTAAGGCAAGCTATAAATGGGGAAAATAGGGCTAATGTGATAAGGAAATATATGGGAACCCCCTCTACTTTATGCTCAGTTTTTCTGTAAACCTAAAACTGATCTAAAAATAAGTCTATTAATTAAAAAAAAAAAAAAAAGCTGCCGATAATGATGAGAGAAAGGCTTTTGGGTCTTTGGATATTCTTGGTCTCCGTATCAGACATCAGAATCAAAGAGGAAAAGCCGATATTGGTGAATTAATCCCTTCCTTTCAGCTTGGCCTCTGATGCCCACTTTATTTTAGTCTTTGTCTAGCATTCAGGGTTGGCTAGCAGCTGTCCCATGAGGATTGTCATTATAACTCTCCATTCATAGACCTGGGGAGAATCTGTGGCGGACTTTCCCTTGTGAAATAACACCCTTATGTTCCAGGCTTGAGCAGTGGAGGGATAATATTCATGTGAGGTGGGTGTTTGAACATCATGATTCCATTTCTGGACTTCTTGCAATCATTGTTGGATTCAGATGATACCTTTCCTTCTCAAATTTGACCTAACGTGGACACAGACTTTGGTAGGGCTGAATCTAGGCTGTAATGTTGAACAAGACCTTATCAAAAGCTTCAAGATATTAGCCTTTATCTATTTCATGTATCTGGCTTGTTTGATTGTTTTTTGGAAGAATATAATCTGTTATCATGGCCTGTATATATGAGGTAAAAGACTTCTTTCCATCTCACTGAAATTATTCTTAAACTTATCTCACTGTCTGGATCTCTCTTCCTATCCAGGGTTTGCCTTTCTGTACTAAATGCTCTGTTCTATATCTGCCTTTTTTTCCAAAATGGAAATGCCTCCAGATGGCCTCTCACAGATTGTGTGGCCTTACTCTTTGTCTCAAAAGGGACAAACATGTAAGGACTGATGTTGACCCAAATCTGTTTCTTTCTGCCCAGAATGAATAAAAACCTAGATTAGCATCAGTACTTCCTGAATTGGAGCTATTCTAATTATCCACCCAGCTACCAACGTAGGAACTGAGGGTTCTTTTAGGGGAGCTCACTTTCCTAACTGTCTTCAAGGACAGTTGTCATTAATGAGGCATACTTTTCATCCTTGAATCATAGTTTTGTAGAGCTAAAAGATATCTCAAGGATCCATCATTTTCAATCTACTGCACTTATTTTATGATGCAGAAACAGTCATACAGTTTTAGGTACTACATGACTTTGCTTGGGTCCTAGCTTTGATAGTATTAGCAGAGCAGGGAACCAGAATCTAGTTTAATATGTCCTAATCCAGTGGTCTTTTTATCACAAAGTGCTTCTTTTGAGAAAAAGTAACCAGAACCAGAAAAAGCTCACTAGAAGTTGAGCCTGGAATTTGCTAACTCATCATTACAGGGTCTTCCTTGCAAAAACATTTTTACTATAGTTTTTATGAATTTTTTTTAAAAAAGATTTATTTACTCTTGAGAGAGAGAGAAAGAGCTGGGGGAAGGGCAGAAGGAGAGAGAATCTCAAGAAGACTCCCTGCTGAATGAGGAGCCTAATGCGGGGCTCGATCCCATGACTCCAAGATCATGACCTGAACTGAAATGAAGTCAGGCACTCAACTGACTGAGCCATCCAGGCACCCCAAGTTTTTTCTTTTATTTAAGATTAAAATACATTATTGATTTTCTGCTGAGGGTGTTGAGAGTTAGTGGGGAAATATTTTATGCCAGTTTTGCTAGAATTCAAAACAACCTTTGAATAAAGTAGGTATATCATGAACTCCTTGAGAAGATAATGTAATCTTTAAATGTTACATTCATAATTTTAATTCATTCAGCTTTTTGAATGTGTGAGATGAGGTTTTTTTTTTTCCTAATACACTCTGAGGTGTTTTTGGAAATAAATGTGTCCAAAGATGTAAAACTTTGGATATCAGGAAGTCCCATGATAGTGCTTTTTAAGGTAATTGGATTGCCTATTGATTATTATGACTCTTCACTGTAGATGAAGTTTCATTTACTGTTCACTTGAAATTCTGGTTGTCCAGTGTTCTTATTATCTCTGTCAGCTACTTCTCTTTATTCTTGCATTCCATCTGGCCATCTCATTGTTTGTTCTTTCTTTCTTTCTTTTTTTTTTTTTTTCATCTCATTGTCCTTAAAAAGGAAAGGGATTGAAGTAAATGGGGTGGACTTTTAAAAAAATGTGGTAAGATTTGGGGTGCCTGGGTGGCTCAGTGGATTAAAGCCTCTGCCTTAAGCTCAGGTCATGATCCCAAGCTCCTGGGATCTAGTCCCGCATGGGGCTCTCTGCTCAGCAGGGAGCCTGCCTCTCCCTCTCTCTCTGCCTGCCTCTGCCCACTTGTGATTTCTGTCTGTCAAATAAATAAATAAAATCTTTTTTTTAATAAATAAAATCTTAAAAAAGAATAAAAAATTAAAAATGTGGTAAGATTTAAAGGCAGATAAGGTTGTATTTCACAATGTAATCTCACAATGAAACACCCAAATAGTATAACATTATATTTTTATTCCAGGTCTTCATTTCAGAGAATCTGAAGTTAATACTGTGCATCTTTTTCAATAACTTTTTATTTGAATACAAAGATAATATACATACATTGTAGACAATTTGGAAAGTATAGACAAATCCAGAGAAGAAAGTAAAAATCATCACTTGTAATTCTAGTATTTAGTGATAATCACTGTTAATATTTGGTGGTTGTTTTAGTCATTAGTATATACATATTTTGAATTCTTTTTAATGGGGTTATAATGCATTTGTAACCGCATTTTTAATAGGCAAATAATATTTTCCTCTTTAAAAGTCCTTCATAGATTCTTTTTTAATAGATGCATATTATTTTACAGTATGGCTGTACCAGGATTTCTTTAAACAGTTTCTTTTTGAAAGATACTCAGCTTGTTTCTAGCTCTTCCATAAGAAAGCTGTCATTGTTGTAGGCTTCATGTTAGGAATATCTGTGATTGTTTCTCATTAGACTTTTAAGGAAATCTTTAAAAATTTGTAAGTGAAACCTAAGGCAAAGAAAAACTAAATAAGAACATAGTATTACATAATAAACCAGTGATCTTTTGTTAATTCTTAGCACAGTGTTTAGTTCACATTTATCCTGATACTTTAAATGGCAGTGTATTTAGATTAATGTACAGTTTGAATTAAAATGATTTAATTTTAACACAAGCCAGTCTGAAAACTGGTTTTTTTTTTTTGAAAATTTCTTGAGGTTGCACATTGAACTACACTTCACATGTCTGACTTTTAGTCCATGTATTTTTCATGACCTTAAAATTTAAAAAATCTTAATTTCATGAGGATTAATTATTTGCTTTCTTCTTCAGAAGTTTTGAATGAGTTGTGTACAGTATACTGATTTTTTTAAGTTGAGTATTGGTAATATGTGTTCATCTCAGACTAATCTCACAAGATTTTCTTAATAAATTTATAGTTCTGGTATATATCAATGATATGGATCATTTAGAATTGGTTGTCTAATATATTATGTGGTACTTTATACCACAGAACCATATACTTTAGAAACCCAATGCCATGTTAAAGTTTGAATTTTCAGTATATTCTTGCATCACAATAGGATCATGCCATAAGATTTTTTTCTTATATGAATATTGGAAATACTGTTCTTTCTAATCATCAGCTATCTTAGCTATAGCAAACAAAACTAATTTTTGTCAGAAGTGCCTGATCAGTTTATGTGACCGCTTTTTTCCCTCTAACCCTATTACCCCTCTACTCCCAATCAAGTGAAAATTCCTTCTTTGTGATACTTTATGTATAAGGGTATTCACCAGATGACCTTTTATTATATTTAGGGATACAGGTGCGTGTTTCTTCCATAAACTACAGGTTCCCCAAGGAATGAATTTTCATGTTTGTATCTACCCACTTATATTGTGCTAGGAGTTGGGCCAGTTATTTGGGAGTCACATGTTTTGGTGTTCAGTAAATTTTCATTGAGTTAAATTGAATAAAAATGTAGACTTGATTGCTTGATTGCTAGCAGAACTCTGTATTTCCTAAACAAGTTTGTTAATAATCTCAAATTATCAGGAGCAAATTTATTTTTATTTAAAATTGAGCAGATGGCTTGGTGCCTACACTTTTCAACTAAATAAAGATTTCTCTTTTAGGATTTGTTCGCACAGATATGACGAAAGACTTGAAAGAAGAACATTTAAAGAAAAGTATCCCCCTTGGGAGGTTTGGAGAACCTATTGATGTGGCACATGCGGTTGTGTTTCTTTTAGAATCACCATATATTACAGGGCATGTTCTGGTAGTGGATGGGGGATTACAACTCATGATATGATTAACAGATTATTCAGTTATAATAGTGATTATAATCAAGGGTACAGTTTGGCTATTGACAGTCATACCTGTGCAGGTGACATTTGCTAATTAGAGCTATTGATGATACAAGTATTGATTTTCATCTTTATATGAATATATCTGAAAAGAGCACTGTCTGACCATTTGTGTTTTCTAAGTGGTATGTACCTTATAGGCTCTAGCAATTTTAGTATATAGACATTTGCATAAATGGACACTAATTTATATTTTTGGTCTCAAAAGTGCAAAAATTATATAATCTGATTGGGCATGAATTATTTTATTCTATCAGTCAAAATTCTCTAGAAGTTAACGTATGGGCCATTGCTAAGATAGGAGTATTTGTAGGATATTATTTAGTTGTCAGTACTTTAGCAGTCCTGCCAGTTACACATTGTATTCCTTTCCCATATACCTTAGAAGAATAGTTTTTATACAGGTTGAAAAAAAATGATCAGTTTGGCATGAATTTAGAGCCTGGTTTCTTTGAGTGCATTATTCCTGATGAAGCGGCTGGACAAAATAATTCACAAATACAAATTCTCAAATACAGATGCGGTATAGTTGACTGATTCTTTAGAAATTCTCAAAGATGATGAAGATTAACCCTTAAGGTTTTAAGATCTGGTATAGGAATGAGCTGAGTTCTTATCAACTTAGGAAATAGAAGTAGTTTTTTTGTGTAACACTCAGTTTAGCAAACTACTTAAAAATAGTATAACAAATAATGACATCTTAAAAATCAAGAGTATTTTGTATGATTGAATATAATATGATTTTTTACCCTTAAACTTCAGAAATACTTAATTACAGAAATATGTAATTAATTACAGTAATACTTAATTACTACTGAATCATCAAAAAATGATAAATAAATATGCAGTAACAACAAATAAGATGTCTTCATAAGGAACAGTTAAAAAGCATTACTTTTAAGAGAAAATATCTGCCTGAGAATAGAAGTAAAGATACAAACTGAATGTAAAATATCAGGCAATATTTCTTTTGCATTGAACTCTCGTATCGAATTCTTTTGTGGGGAATAATATGATATTTTAAATAGTGTGGAGGATAATGTCACTGGATTCATGTTGATTTTTATTATTTATCATTTCAAAATATGTTTTAAATATTTACTGCATTTTAAAAAGTAATCTTTTAGAGTTTTATTAGAGCTGAACATTATTTTATTTAAACAGATTTAATTTTATATTGCAAGTCAGTGCAAAGGTGTGAGGAGGTTGTCCTAAATAAATGCAATGTGATAAAGATAATAAAAATAAAAAATAAAGTAAAAGGTAATAAAAGATTTAAATTCTACACCAAGCTTCCTGACTCAAAAATTATTTTAAATTTATCTTCAAAATAATCTTTACTTAGAGAAGTCTATTTAAGAGTGAGGAAGTTATTAAGTGTGAGTAAAATGAGTATTATTAATCAAACTGTTTACTAAATGCAAGCATGGTAATATATAGGATTTATCAAGCATTAACGGTTCTAGGCACATAAATGGAGCAGTCAGGATGGTTTCAAATGCTGTAGCTGATGCTTTTAAGGTAGGAGAGTCTGTGGAGACAAAGTAGGCCGTTTTTCTAATGCTGCCTCACCTGCACACCTTTAGCTACCTGCATTTCTTCACATAACATCCTCCTCAGGTTAGAATTTCCTTCTCCGGATACTTCATCTCTGAAATCATCAGTGAGGGCGATCTGACTGGTGATTAGGAAGAAACCAATATATTTCATTCAATTAGTGACATTAAGCTACAGATAGGTTTAACCTTTAAGAATGTATATTTACAACCTTTTTAACTGATACATCTCCCTCACCCAGGCCATATCAAAGTAGTAGAATATGGGAAGATTTTGAAATAGGTAAAATAAGCCTTCACTGTTCCACTCCAGGTGAATTCACTTACTTTCACGGACCTGGTAGAGCTTGTAATTTAATACTCCCGTCCTGTTGCTCAAATCAGTTGGCAGCCGTTGTGTGTGTTCGGCCATTCAAGAACTTCTGTGATTTCTTAACAACTTGACATACATACAGTTGACTTTTGAACAACATGGTTTTGAGCTGTGTGGGTCCACTTATATGGGCATATTTTATAGTACACTACTGTAAATGTATTTTATGATTTTAATATTTTTTCTAGCTTTATTGTGAGAATACAGAATATATACATCTTACAAAAAATGTGTTCACTATTTACGTTATTGGTAAGGCTTCCAGTCAACAGTAGGCTATTAATGATTATGTTCTTGGGCATCAGTTATAGGTGAATTTTTGATTGTGCGGGTGATCAGTACCCCTAACCTTCTGCATTGTTCAAGGGTAAACTGTATACAAATTATTTAATAATTAAATTTCTTTTATATTTGTTTTATCTTTCTATTACATTGTAAGCTCCTGAGGGTAGAGACCATACTGTGTTTTCATTTATTTAGCTAATGAACTCAAATATTGGTTGAATACCTGCTAACTATCTGGAACTTCTTTTGATACCCCCACGTTGCCTAGTCATCCCTGAGTACATTGGATATGCTCCATAAATAACTGATAAACCACTATGATTTTTTGATTCAAGATCCATTCAAGAGTCCATTACTCTGTGCTATTAATAATTACATAATTACTCTGTTGGTGATAGTCACTGAGATATATCTGTTCTCTCAGTATGCATCCTGGAATACTATTTTTTTTTTAAATCAAATCCCTGTGACTTAATCTTTTTTGATAATTTATCTTTTTTGGTAATTTATCACTGATTTTGATGTTTACTTTCAATTTAAAATTGAATTTGCAATCCTAAGTCAATCAATTGTTTCCTGTTAGGCAGGATACCTTAGTTCAAGTAATTACCAGGAATTTGGTTAGAATTCCTGGGCTAATAACCCAAACGGTTATCAGTATTACCTGTAGAACTTTTTTTTTTTAATTGAAAAAAAAATAGTTCTTTTAAATGAAGTATGGTTAACACACAGTATTGGATCAGTTTCAGTAATTCAACATAGTAACAGTAATTCAACAACTTTATATGTTATGCTGTGCTCTCCAAAACTGCAACTACCATCTGTTACCATATAACACTATTATAATACCATTGACTGTATTCCTTCTACTGTACCTTTCATTCCTGTGATTTATTCATTTGGCAATTGAAAGCCAGTACCTCCCATTCCCCTTCACTCATTTTGCCCACCTCCCCCCATTGATATGACCTATGTATTTAGGGCATGTTTTTTGCTTTTTTTATGTGTGTGTGTGTTTTGATTCCACATATAAGTGAACTCCTATATTATCTTTCTCTGACTTATCTCACTTAGGATAATACCCTCTAGGTCCATTTATGGTGTCACCAGTGGCAAGGTATCATTCTTTTTATGGCTGAGTAATATTCCATTGTGTTTATATACACCACATTTTATTTTTCCATTCCTCTTTGATGGGCATTTGGGTTGCTTTCATATTTTGGCTGTTGCAAATAATGCTGCAGTAAGCATAGGGTGCATATATCTTTTTCAATTAATGTTCTCATTTTCTCTGGGTAAATACCTACTAGTGGAATTACTGGATAATACAGTATTTCAGTTTTCAGTTTTTTGAGGAATCTCCATATTGTTATTTGCAGTGGCTGCACCAATTTACAACCCACCAACAGTGTACAAGGGTTTCTTTTTCTCTACATCCTTGTCAGCCCTTGTTTTTTTCTTGTCATTTTGATTTTAGCCATTCTGTAAGGTGTAAGTTGCTATCTCATTGTAGCTTTGATTTACATTTTCCTGATAATTAGTGATGTTGAGCATCTTTTCATATGTCTGTTGACCATCAGTATGTCTTCTTTGAAAAAGTGTTCATTCAGGTCATCTGCCCATTTTCAAAGGGATTATTTAGGGGTATTTTTGGTGTTGAGTTGTGTAAGTTCTTTATACATATTGGATACTAATCCTGTATTGGATATATCATTTGCAGACATTTTCTCCCACTCAGTAAGTTGCCTTTGGTTTTGTTGATTTTTTAATTTTCCCTGTGCAAAAGCTTTTTAGTTTGATGTCCTAATAGTTTATTTTTGCTTTTGTTTTCTTTGCCTGAGGAGACTTAACTAGAAAAATATTGCTAAGACTGATGCCCAGGGTATTATTGCCTGTGTTTTCTTTTAGGAGTTTATGGTTTCAGATCTCCCACGTAGGCCTTTATGTCATTGTGAGTTTATGTATTGTGTAAGAAAGTGGTTGAACCCCATGTCGAGTTCTGCTCAGGAGGGAGTCTGCTTTAGGATTCTCTCACTCTGCCCTTTGCCTCCCCCTATTCATGTGGTCACTTTCTCTGAAATGATAAATTTTTAGAAAGTGGTCCAGTTTTATTCTTTTCAGTGTAGCTGTTGAGTTTTCCCAGCATCTTTTATTGAGGACTGTCTTTTCTTCATTGTATACTTCTATCACCTTTGCCATAGATTAATTGATCAAATAAGTGTGGGTTTTTCCTGAGTTCTCTATTCTGTTCTCTTGATCTGTGTGTCTTTTGCCAGTGCCATTCTGTTTTGATTACCATAGCTTTGTAATATAGTGTGAAATCTGGGATTGTGATACCTCCAACTTTGTTCTTTCTTAAGATTATTTTGGCTATTTGGCATCTTCTCGTTCCATCCAAATTTTAGTATTATTTTTTCTAGTTCTGTGAAAAATGCTCTTGGTATTTTGATAGGTTGCACTGAATCAGTAACATGGACAATTTTAACAGTATTAGTTTTTCCAGCCCATTAACATGGACTCACTTTCCATTTATTTGGCATCTTTAATTTCTTTCATGAGTGTTTTATAGTTTTCACAGAAACATCCGTGTTAAGTTTATTCTTACGTATTTTATTCTTTTTGGTGCAAATGGAAATGATTTCTTATTTCCTCTTTCTGCTACTTCAGTGTTAGTGTATAGAAATGTGACAGATTTCTTTATATTAATTTTGTAGCCTACAACTTTACTGAATTCATTTATCAGTTCTGTAGTTTTTTAGTGGATCTTTAGGATTTTCCATATATTACATTTGCAAATATTGACAGCTTAACTTTTTGCTTTCAATGTGGATTTTTTTTTTCTTGTCTGATTGCTGTTGCTGGGACTTTAAGTATTATGTAGAATAAATGGGGCGAGAAAGGATATCCTTGTCTTATTCCCAATCTTAGAACTTTTTCATCCTTAATTTTTCA